ACTCTTGACAACGAGGCCGTCCTGGGAGGTGATCTCCAGGGCGTAATTGCCTGCGTAGGACGGTTGCCAAGAGTGCTTGGCCTTGGACTTAGGCGCCATCAATTTGAATTCGCGCTATTAGCAATGGGAACGTCCGCACAGCAGTCCAAAAGAAGTCCGCGGACTTTCTTAAAAGTGGATAAGGATCAGCCCTTAAATGTGTACTAGTAATAAACGAATTAAATGTAGATTCTTCCACTTTTTATGAGGCTATGGCATAGTCCCCATAAATTGTTTGCGATGGCTGCAACAGCTCGACGTACAGTACATGAGTGCAGCAGCAATTCTCGTAGCGCTCCTTCACATGCGACAGTTTGGCGCAAGCATTGCTCGCTTCTCTTCGCGGTCGACTTTTCACCGACGTCATTGCTCGTAGTCGGAGCTTGGAAGTCCCTGCATCAAACCGTAGCCATTCTAATCTTAGCTTGGGGTTCTGCATTGGTACGTCGTATGCCACCCCGCAATGGCAACTTTGGTTGGCTATTTGGATAACCGGATATGCAATTTATCCGGAAGCATTCACAAAAGTGATCCGGAATGGATGCCCCTGCGCGATTGACGTCGCCGACGGCAGGGTGGGCGTGGCGGATTGTGTGCTTGAGCTGAGTGTTGATGTAGACGAGGACTCAAGCGCCGCGACAGCATTGGCGACAGAATCGAACGAAGCATTGCCGAACATATCATGGAGGTATCGCCATCGTTGGAACCGGACGATCACCTCCAAGTAGGAGACTGCCGATGCCGCAGATGTTGCTCGCGAGGAAGCCCTTGATGATGAAGAGAAGCTAAGCATCTCAACGAAGTTGCAAGCGACTGGTGCTCTCAAAGCGGACGTGAATGAAAAGCTTCAACTCGCCAGGGCGCCCAGTCATCCGATTGTCCATGTACTCGTCATGCCTGATATCGCTCACTTGGCGCATGGCTCACATGAGCAGGTCTTGCTTATCATTGCTAGCCTTTACAATCATGATTGTATCTCGATGGAAGCACGAAGCGTGCTGAAAGACCAGGCCATCGATGAAGTGCGCAGGTCGAATGGAATATTGTCGGCTGCAGTGGAGCTCTTGTGCCAGGTGCAGTCGCTTGCATTTTTTTTGCTTCACATGTCAAAAACTGTCACACTAGGACGGTGATGTGGATGAATGTGTGGACACGTTTGTGCAAGTGGGTCACATGCTGCTAGCGAAGGCTCTTTGACCCGTCTCGGTATCAAGTCACAGAGCGCATGCAGAGAGTGTTAATTTCTCACAGGCGATAGATGCGCCTCGAACTCTCTGCACCGCGTTAAGCATACCAAATCATGCCAGTTGATCATACCTACGTCCACCGACATTGTGCATTGTCGATGCTTGAGGAGCTGGAAACAACACCTGTGTCAGATCACAGCTTTATAAAAGCGTCATTCCAAAATATTCCGCAAGAATTTGTTTTACCAACGTGATGTTAACAAAGTGAATGCATCCCACATGAGAATCAGCTGAATAATATTGCGCGGGATATTTATTGCTGATGTTTTATTAAATCCATTCTATTTGAAGTTTATTCCAAATGGACGGGCGTTTGATCAAACCCGGTATTTATAGAAATTCACTTGTACTTTTAATAGTCCATATACCGGGTATTTGATTGCACCCACCCCCGCCGACTTTCAAAATTCGAATTCATCACGACGTGAAGCATGGACGACCGCAAGCCGAGTGAGGCGGATATTGAAAACCCTGAGAAACACCGCACAACCAATGTCGACGACACATCCGACGTCGATATGGATGAAGAGGAAGATGACGGCGGTGAAGTTGATGTTCGGGGAGTGCCCACATGGCTCAAGTACGAGCGCCAGCCAGGTTGGCACAAGATGTGGGAATTCATGCACAAGCTGGAAACGCCGTATCGAGTGGGCACGAGGGATATGACGCATATTTGCCTCATGTGCATGGATTCTATCGCAAAGTCAGGCGGGTCATGGAAGAAAGCCCTGAAGCTCGTGGGAACCACGACCATTGGGATGAAACATATTGAACGAAAGCATCCCCACGTGAGCCAAGAAATCGAGTTGGCGCGACTCGAAAAGAAGGCCAACAAAGCCAAGGGGCTCACCAAACGGGCAGCACTCTTGGCGTTGTCACAAATTCCGGCAGAAGTCGATCCTCCCAAGAAGAAGTTCAGAGTTCTCCCCAAGCCGCTCTGGATACCTTCGGTACAATTTCAAACATCGCAACCTGCATGCCACGCTTGATTTTATCTACTTGCAACTTCAGGCGGATGTGGACACCAACGCGGTCAAGTCAGAAATCCAACAGAAAGTGCAGTCTATTGCTTCGTCCATGACCCAATCGACCAAAGTCCAATACATTGTAAGTGCATGGACCTTCCGTTTTGTTGGCCCTCATCTTTGTGGTAGCTCTTGGTAGTGATCGGATGCCTGTTCAAGCATGGGCTCATCTCTGCGGGCGCCCGAAGCGCTTTGAAAAGCCAGGCCATCAGTGAGCCCGAAGGGATTCTGCTGGCTGCCGTGGAACTGCTCTTGGTGGTGCGTTCTTGAACACTTGCCAATGGTTTTGACGCGATGGGTGTCGGAGCAGGACTGGGACTTGGATGAGTGTGTCGACACATTCTTGCGAGTGAGCCACACCATCTTGGGAGCTGATGACGTCGAGTAGAAGCGCCCGTCGACCTGCTCTGCGACGTGTATAGCAATAGAATTGTGGACGCACAGGCCATCATGGTTTGGACTTGATCGGCACGAAAAGACACCAAGAATTCATGGCGAAACTTTATCCGGAGTCAAAAGATTCTAAAAATGTAGGATGAAATTTTATTCATGTTAATGGAAATCCTGTATCTTTTTATAAGACACAGGAAATGCTTCTGCAAGGTCTTCTACTTCCACAAGTTCTGCCATGCCGACTGCCCTAGGTGCTGAAGCGCGGGGAAGTTGGCGATGGTGTAAATGGAGACCACTGACGGAGATAGGCATACATTTCGTTTACACTGTGGCATTCATGTGCTGCTACTACAGTACCGCAATTTGTTTTTCATTTTCTGCATCCTGCAAAATGACAAGAATGCAAGTACACAACGAGTGACGAAACGACGATAAAATAACGGGCATGAAGTCCTTGAGCGTGTGTTTTGAAACTCGAGATTCACCGTGATTTGCATGTTCGACGTGTCAGATACCCATAAAAATTGTCGTCGTCCTGCGGTTGCACAAGTAGTTCAACCAACTCGACGAGATCACAGGATTAGGAGACAGAGAGATCGATGCACGGCGCCTGTGCGTGCTATGCAAAATCGAATCCATCAAACTGCGCGTGAACCACAAGACGTCGCAAGCTGTTATCAAATGCAGTCCAGGATGCTTTCGTCACCTCTGCCATGTAGAACGATCAAACCAGCAAACCGAGTAGATAGTTGTAGGCTCAGTCTGGTAGAGACTCTCACCTGGGTGCACTGTCCTTGCAGCGGTCGATGCGGGCAAGGTCGACTATGAGCAAAAGAACCACTTGACAGGGGCACACACCGAAATCGGCAGAAGCTACGGATAAACTTTGACAGGTTACGACCCAAGATAATATAATGGGAAAGTTTCGAATTATTTTAATTTGAGCTCGCGACATGGGGAAAAAGTATATGGGAGCTAGACTACCCCATAGTGGAGCTCAGCCCAAGTTGTTCTGGTCAGCATCGGGCGACGGCGCACCACTGACTGCCGCCGTTGCCTCGCTTCCTTCTACTGACGGTCGCGTCGGAAGAGAACACTTGCTCGAGCTGCTACAGTTGATGCCGTCTACGGGGGTCCCTACTCATTCTGTTACATCATCAAACATGCTCGGGCCGTCGTCGTCGTTGTACAACAAGTCGCGCGCGATGCACAGCCACAACACCCACCACGCGCATCCAAGCGCGTTCTCCCACTCGATTAGTGCCAGCTCGATGGTACATCTCGGCAGTAGTAGCATCCACGCCTTGGCAGTGTCGGCAACCGCCCAAGCGAGTGCGGATTTCAAGGGCGACTTTGAAAAGATCGACCAGGGGTTATCGTCCGAGGACGAAGACGTCCAGCACGAGGCAGCCAAGAAACTCCGCAACTTGCTTTCGAGCGAACGTGACCTGTTGATTCGACAGGTGGCTTCTCGACACATCCCCACGACACCCGACACTCATGTGTACCTCTAGATGCTAGACAAGAATTGGACTCCACGCTTGATTAAGTGGTTGCGGCTGCGAGAGCGACCAACCCTGCAGGTGGAAGCGCTGTGGGCGCTGACAAACATCGCTGCCGGGGCGACCGACAACACGTCTGTGTTGCTGCAAAACGGAGTCATCCCGACCCTCGTTTCGCTGCTCGACTCCACCAACGATGAGGTATGATCTCCCCCGTCTAGCTGGCGCATGTTCTTGAGTTGACTCGTCTCGATTAGGTGTTGGAGCAATCTGTGTGGGTTCTAGGAAACTTGGCGGGTGAAGGATCCCAGACGAGGGACCTGGTCCTCTCGGCTGGCGCCCTCCCTCCGTTAATCCACAACCTGCGCAAGACTCCACCGGAGAAGCTCTCGCTTCTTCGCATCCTCACGTGGACGCTGAGCAACCTGTGCGACGGCCAGCCGCGACCAGTCTTCGACATCAACGTGGTGTTGCCATCGCTTTCGAATGTGCGCAAGCTCCAGCGACATCGAGATCGATCCTGACTTGCTGTAGATGTTGTCGAGTGCCGACACAGAAGTCCTGAGCCATGTGTGCTGGGCGTTTTCCCACCTGTGCGACGGCCCCAGCACACACATTCAAGCGGTTGTCGACTCGGAAGTGTGCATCCGCCTCGTGGAGCTCCTCGGCCACAACTCGTGGCGTGTCACCAAGCCTGCGCTCCGCGCCATCGGCAACATTGTTTGCGCTGAAGACGATCACGACTACACCCAGGTATTGTGATCGATGCCAACAAGTTGTTGGCGGCATGCTTGAACTGACTGATGCACTTTTGGCCGCAGCACATCATTGAATGCGGGGCCGTGCCGTCGCTGCGCAAGCTCATTGCGCACTCGAACCGTGAGATCCAAAAAGAAGCGTGCTGGACGCTGTCGAACATTGCGGCCGGGACGGTGGACCAGATCCAGTGTGTGTTGGATTCTGGTTGCATTCCGTCGCTCATGGGCCTGGCGTCGTCGGATGCTACGGATGCCGAAGTTCGCAGCGAGGCGTGCTGGGTCGTGCTCAACGCGACGTCATGTGGGTCGGACAGTCAGGTTGGTCTCGATCGACTGCGCCACGTTGTCACGGTCTGTGCTAGATTGAATACCTTGTGAACGAAGGGTGCATTCAGATATTAGGCAACCTCCTCGAGGAGTCGAGCATGGTGATGATGGCACTGGAAGGATTAGAACGGATATTGCAGGTGGGGGAGCTCGAAGCGAAGCGGACAGACTCCCCCAACCCGTACGCGAGCTTGATGGCGTCGGCCAACATAGAAACGCTGGTCTCGCACAAGTCGGCGACCGTCGCCAAGCGGTACGCGAAGCGTCAAGTCGGCGTCGGCTAAAGAGGACGTGGTCGTGTAGGGCATCGCGCATCTGGCAGCAGCACTTTGTCACGTGTGCCATTTGCTCGGGCGCGTTTTCCAAGCACTCGAACGACACGTTCTTTTGCGCCGAGTGCAAGTGCAATGTGTGCAAGAACTGCGACTGCACCGTGTTTCACTTGAAATACCAGGCAAGCAAACGATGGCACGGCCATGGGCTCATATCGTTGTGGAGCGTAGGAAAGCTTGTGGAAGGAAGAGACGGAAAAGGAAACGTCGGAGATGAAGGCCAAGGCTGCGTCGAAGCGGAGTAAGCGACAAAAGAAGCGGCAACGAACCAAGGAACGCAAGGCTGCCATGCGCCAGCAGCAGACAGGAAAGAACAAGACGACGCACTCTTCGTGCAGCTCGTCTGACGACGAAGATGACGACGAAAGTGCCGACGAATCGCCCCAGTCGCCGCCGCTGGTGGCGTCGATGGCACAATTGCGTGTGAGATCCCGCCTCGACGACATGGTCGATGCCAACGATAAGCTCGTGTCATATCTCCTCGAGACCGGGTCCATTATGGCGCTTGCGGAGCGCTTGGACCAAGAAGACGACAGCTTGTGGACTGTCGCCGAGGAGGACCGGCCGGCAATCATCCAAGCGTAACAAGGAAAAAGCTGTTTCTGCTTGTGTTTAATTGGTTATAATTCAACGGATTTGCGCTTTTCACCCAATCATTGATGTCAGTGTGGAAGGAATACACTAGTTTTACCCAATCGTATGACGTGACGTTTCATGGGATCGCCAGGTGGTTGCGATCGACCTCTGATTTCCTGCTGGCGACGGTGTGCTGAATGTGGCGCCCATCTCTACGATGCAGCATTCTATACACGAGTCCTCGGTCATTCTTGGCCCGCTTTGTCGCTCAATCTAGCCATTTCCGCCATGAATGTGTTGGACGTCGAGCTCAAGCCCGAAGCCGAATGGGTCGCAGACTCTAAACGGCGAGCATGTGCCGTCTGCGATCGAAAGTTCAGCACGTTTGTGCGAAAGCATCACTGCCGCGCATGTGGCGAAGTCATTTGCAAGAACTGTTCCAGCAAGCGACGCGTTCGAGTGTCCTCACCTCCCAACTCATCCAACATCCCACGGACGTCCAGGCAGCCCGCCGGCACGGCACCAGCGTCGTCGAACGACGCTTCGCTACCGTCGACTTCAAAGTCCAGCCGTATCGCCCGTTTGTGCATTGACTGCATTTCTCCTGTGCTCGTGGACTCTGTCAATTCAATGCTACGACACCGACCACCGCCACCCTCCCAAAGCGCGAGTTTGGCACAATCATCTGAATCCACGGATGTCGACTACAACGAGTTCAATCGCGTGAACGTGTTGCGATCGTACTATGTCCTGGACACCCCACCCAGCCAAGAGTTCGATGCGATATGCAGCGCTGCTGCCAAAACTTTCGATTGCGCCGTTGCCGCAATCAGTTTTCTGGACGCGACTCGACAATGGTACAAAGCCAGCATGGGGATTCAACCATCTGAGGTGCCTCGCGACGTGGCGCTCTGTTCGCATTTGCTCGAACGGCCGTTCTTTTCTCCACTCGTCGTGCTCGACACGCGCGCGGACTGCCGGTTTCGCAACAATCCTTTGGTCACGGGTGCCGCGAATGTTCGATTCTATGCCTCTGTGCCCATTGTGAATTCCGACGGGTTCGTACTTGGGTCCATCTTCGTATTGGATTGCAAACCTCGATTCGTCACTGTCGAGACCCGATGCACCGACATTTTGCTGCATTTGGCCGAGAAAGTCATGGATCTGCTGGAAGAACACCGCGCGCGCGAGCTCTCGCGCCTGACAGTGATCGAAGAAGCATCGAACGAGCCTCACTCGATATCAGGCGGCAGTAGCCAACAATCTTCTGTCCCTCGGCACTACAACGACGACGGAGTTCCTTTGCTCAACACCGGAACAACTGCCCGAACCGTGCAGGAAAGAGCAGACCAGGATCTGCTACTTTATCGAACCGGGGACTGCGGCGACGGGCTAGCAACGCCACCGGATTCGGCCCCGACAATGGAGCCATGGAGCATGACCAGCAGCAGCCGGCGCGCCGCTGTGAAAGCCAAAGGCATCGAAATTGACACGACGAGTTGCAGGGACAAACTTCTGCACTTCGGTAGTGCTGGTGGAACTGGAAGCGGTGCAGGACTCAAATCAGAAGCTGAGTCGGCGTGCTTGGACCTCCTTTGCCGAGTTACCGACACACAGCAAATGCTCGCCCAGCAACAAACCTTCATCTTCGAACGACTCAGCCTGCATACTTCACGCATGGACCGCCTTGAATCATCTATACGCAAGCTCGAGGCTGCATTTCATGACCTCGCTCTGCAATTCCCTCCCCCCAGTCAATCCAGCCAGCCGTCATCCAGCAAGTCCGAGTTCATCACCATTTGAAAATTTCGTGTCTTCGGTAGTGGTGTCTGTCGACATAGTGAAATAATTAGCAAAAATATCCCGTATCTGTGGAGTTACTTGGTCAAAATTTGGGCAATATTATCACGATATTGTAGACGTTTTGCCAAGTATTTCCGGCGGACTTAACTTTGTCGTACTTAAAGGGAAGGCGTTTGGACGACTGGCGGCAGTTCCGTTCGTGTTGGTCCGACTTCACCATGGTGCGCTTCACGCATGAGCAAATGAAGAAGATGACGCGCCGCGTGATCAGCGAGTCCACGGAATGCCAACCCGAGTTCATCGCCTACATCACTGCGATGGCGAAGTCTGACTGGGATATTAAGCAATGCCGCCGCGAATACCGCGACATCTCCAAATGCATCACGGCGCTCAAGGCAAAGGGCTCGCAGAAGCCGACCTTGAACCATCTAGTGTTGCGCGCATACAACAAGTCCAAGTAGACGACGATCGCTTCATCATCCGGCCTACCGACACTGGGTCGATCGATCCTCGTCCCAATCCGTCAGGCGCCTCACACCCCCGATCGTCCGAACGCAGTATGTATCAATGATAAGAAATACCATTCCTAGACATCCGTCGTGTCTTGCAAAGCGGCACCCGCTTCAAATTCTCCGTGGTCACGTCATTGGCGCTTTTGCAGACACGAACGACTTCCTCGAGCCCAACTTCGGACTCAAATTGCTCGACTGAAAGCTCAAGTTGGTTTATGTCGAAACTGAGCTGAAAACCGGTGCAGTGGAATTTCGTCACCGCAAACTAGTTCTACAACCCCAAGAAGGTTGTTTTTTGGATTCGATTTCTTCGAAGCGATGGACCGGCTTCACTTCAAGAGACCTGCACAAGACATGGACATGTGTTTTGAAACATGTCTGAGGTGACGATTCTCTCCGGCGGAGGCGACCTGCGACCAGTACAGATATACCTGTAGCGTGCGAACATTAAACTCATGGCACTACAGGGAGCAATATTACGACGGCAAGGCGCTGTACTACTTGCAGCGTATTCACTCGGAGTCGGTAGACATGTTGTATCTCGCACACAATCCCGCTGCTCGAAGGCATCAGAATCAACATGATGGTTGGCTTTGCATACCGGTCTCAGCCAGTGCAGGCATATCGAGGGCGCGTGTCATACGTTGGCCTGTCCGCAGTTCCATCTCTTGGAAGAGAACGAGCTGGCCGTAGTCGGCGAAGGAGATAATGCCGGCGGAGGTGAAAGTCCGGATAACACCACGCCGGTTGGGTCGTGGTATCCGGAAACCGCCTGGCGCTTACATTTCGGCGCATTCTCGTTTTCGAGCGGAGAGCATCCATCATGGACACGAAGGAGGCGATTACGACGATGGAAGGCGCGATCAAGTACGCCGTCAAAACTATGGACGATTTCTTCGACCCCAACATTGATAAGGATCGCCGCATTCCTGTCGACCTCATGCAAGATGCCAAGGGCCTTGCATTTCTCACAGTCATTAAGGCCGGGTTCATTTGGACCGGAAAGGTTGGCACGGGGCTTGTCATTGCCCGGCTTCCAGACGGACGCTGGTCGGCGCCGTCGGCGATTGGTACGGTTGGTATGGGCGTGGGATTCGAAGCGGGGGGTCAAATCATCAACTTTATGATCATCCTGAACTCGGACGCGGCAGTCAAATCATTTCGTTCGAAGGGGCAACTTTCTGCTGGTGCCAACTTGGAATTCGCCGCGGGGCCGTACGGCCGTGCAGCTGGCGCCAACGCAAACCTCAGTACGGCTGGTGTTGCGCCCAACTACACGTACAGCCACAGCAAGGGTTTGTTTGGAGGCGTGGGACTGCAAGGGTCTGCGATTGCTGCGCGCGCCGACATCAACAAGTCATTTTATGGTCGCGAAATCACCCCCACCGAAATCTTGACCGGGGCCGTGGAGCAACCGACCGCGGCTGCGCCGCTGTACGAAGTGATCGAGCGCATTTTGGCGTTGCCGTCCCAAGGCAATCCCCTGAAGAACCTTCCGTCCATTCCAACGATGTCGATTCCTGCGATGCCTGCTATGCTTCGACGAGGGGTCAGCGCGGACGCTTTGCCGCCACCGGCCCAAGGCGCCGACATTCAAGCTGTGTACCACCGAGTCATCACCACGATTGAAACCCTTGCCGGTGAGCAATTTGCAGATGACTTCAAGATCAAGTGCAAAGAATTTGGCCAAAACAAGATGACCAGCGAAGCCTTTACGACGTATATGTCGCAAGCTTTCAATGCGCATCAACGAGTCACGCTGTATCCGGTTTGTCCGCCTTTGATGATGAGCAAAGTTGTCATCCCGTGCGTATAGGACGTGGTGAAGCTCCTCCAAGACAAGCCGAAGCGCCAAGCTCTATGGGACGACTATTTACTCGCCAAGGAACAAGGTGCATTTTTGCTCGACCGCTCCATGGTTTTCACGAAATTGTAGCGACTGCCACGGCACCGCCGCCGTCGACGGCGGAGAACCCGTCGTTATTTTAGGAGCACTCCCTTTGACTCGATTGTGTGTCACCTGCAATGCAATCGTCGCTAGTTCATGATGCGCGTTGGGCGAAGGCATTCGTGGCAAGGCACGCCATGGCGCCGCTGGTGGCGATGGAAGGTTTTGTGTGCCAGCAACGGGCGATGCTTCGTGAAGGCAAACAATAAATTGGACAAACAACATCGACGGCTACGCGGGAGCGATGATCAGGTATAACGAGAGGCCGCCATGTACAGTGCCCACGATCGCGAGAGGCCGTCGTCCAAAGCGACCGTTTGCAACTTGCTCATGGCGACGTCGGGGTGGACCGCCGCGTAGTTGAGGTACAACAGGGACAAGGCAGCGTCGTGCTCGCGGTCCTCCTGCACGACCGGGAGTTTGGCCAAGATGTCGGTCCACTCTTCCTGGACAAACTGTTTGGTGCGAACGTACTCGGTGACGGGGGTCACGGGCAGCATCTGGATCATGTGGATCGACTTGCGCTCGTCGCTGAACCACGTTGTGTAATGGACCTTGTTGTCAAAGTAGATGCCGGGGACGTGGTTGACCCGGATCGACGGCGGGTGGATTGTGTTGGCGCTGTCCATCAAAAAGTACATTTGAACGCTGCGCACGTTTACACTCAGCATGAGCCGACCGAGGTGTTCGAGCTCGCGTTGGCCCGTGGCTTGGCCGAACAGCGCCATGGCGTAGTAAAAGTTGACGTCCTCCGACGTGCTTTCCAAATCCTTGCCGTCCTCGGCGGCCGTGATCCCGTGCGAGTACGAGTGCCCTTTGAACCAGTCGAACATGCGAAACGTGGGAAAGTCGGCATCGGTCGCGTCCGCGTTTGCCACGTCCCGAATAAGAAAAGACACGCGCGTGTTGAGCTCGTCCAGCCCCGGCATCGTCGGGTGCACCATGTTGGTGATCGCCGCGGCCGCAACCCAGTACCCAAAGTGGTAGTGGTGGTCGTTGTAGATGGTGTTGCCAAAGTCAGCGTACGTGTTGGCTTCATCGAACCCCTGCGTCGTCACAATGCCCTTGTACACGGTGTCGTACACGAGGCGGTGGGCAAACGTGTTGGTTGTGAAGGGCTTCAGGACGTCCGCGAGCTTGGTTTGGCACTTTCGAACCAGCGAGTCGTCGGCGCCGACGACGGCGCGGTCGCTTGCCATCAAGCACAACGACGCGTACTTTTGCGCGAGTTTTCCGTTGAAGTAGTACGACCCGCCGACGGGCATGCTCCAGGGGGCGTCGATGTCCGCCTTCAAGTGCGCCAAGAGTCGGGTGCTTTGGATGCGCTCGCGCGTGGGGCGTTGGCGGGGGTAGAGTTCGACGGGGACGAGCGATTCGGCCAAGATCCATTGAGCAGGGGTGGTCACGGTCACGAGGGGAACCATCGCTCCACGGGTCGCGGACTCGAGGCGGCTCATGGAGTCGATGGGGGTCGCCGTGTCGGGGGTCAAGATCGCCGCGTGATGGGCCAGGGCAAAGTGCAGCAGCCCAGCGCTGCAGCTGCCGGACGTGGCCCATTGAAAGCCATAGTCGAATTGATTCAACGTCAGGTTCCCGCCGTGCACAATGCACCCATGGTATTTGTCGTGCGCAGCAATGTCGTCGGCCGTTCGCACGAGCGCCACGCGGATGTGGCCCGTAAAGGCGTTCGATTGCTGCAAAATGCGGTCGTTCACGACGGACAGCGTCACTGGCGACGACGCATAGACGACCCATTGCTGGCCGTTGTTGAGGCCAAGGACAAACCGGTCGCCGACAACTTTGGATGCCTTGACCAAAGGCTTGCCGTTGAGGGACACGATGGAATTCGTCGTGGAAATCCGAGGCGGGAGCTTCGAGTACGCGGCTGTCACGTACGCCATGCCGCTGACAAGCGACGTTTGTAGCCACTGATCCGGTGCCCGCTCTTGGCGCAAGGTCACGCCCAAGTCGTCCCAACTTGTGACTTGAAATGGATGCGACGTCGCTGTGATAGCTCCAATCGTCACGTCTTTTGAGTACTGGTGGCTGTAGCTCTTGGCACCGCCGGCGTTACCAGATGCCCCTTGGAAGTACCGCGCGCCGTACGGAAACGAGACGACAACACCTTGGGACAGGAGCACGACCGCGTACGGGTTGGTCCACACTCGTTTCTCCGGCACGTAGTCTTCCCGCGGCGAGCTGATGAGATTGCCCCACCATCGGTTTGTCGGGATGGGGACGTCTTTGCGGATGCTCGGGTGGAGGTTGCGCGGTGGGGCAAACCAAGATTGCGCAGCGGAGGTGGGAAAGTTGCATTGTGGCGACGCATCGGCGTTGTCGAGGAGACAGTTGAGCGATTGCATGGCTGCTTGGTTGCTAATTTCGTTGGTTGCGAGCATGTGTTGTCGCGGCTGCAAGATCGTCACGACGAGGGCGACGCCCGCGACTGCCACCATGCCGCGGAGCAGAAACGACGTTCGGAAAATCGATCGCTTTTGCTTGGGCACAGCCAGCGCAACGAACGTGCCGTGGGATGCAATCGTGGGCAGCATTGTCTGCATTGGTTTGTGCTCCATCCTTGTCGTGGGTGTGCGGGAGATGTGGCAAAATCACCAATGCCATCAGCGTGTATCTCGCGCCTGCCGGCGTCGCCCGTGTGTGGCATCGTCATGAAATTCAAAAATGTAACGGACGTGGACGACGTGTAACCGCCGTAACAGCACCTTGTTCCAACACGTGCGCAGTCGCTGCCTTGGAACCGCCACACGACAAGCAGCAGCACAGCATGATGTGGAGTTCGTTCAAGGCAGCGGGGGCGTGCGCTGCATGGCGGGGATGGCTTGTGGCACGACGAGGTCGCACCAAGCCGCCCCTGAGAACTCCTCAAGTTGAAGGTGGGAGGTTCCGGCGGAACCTTTTCCGTTCTCGGTCAGAACAATCGTCGTGAGTGAAGCCATCCACTCGCGCCATGCCATTACGCACACCCGTTTGCGTCCCAATAGCCCACGCCCGCGTCAAGTAGATGCGCGACGCTATTTATAGGCGCCAAAGGTACCCGTGGCCACAGATTGGTTCGACTGTTGCTGTCGGGCGGAGGCGATTGCAGTCGATTCGTTCGGAAGACTCGGAGAATTCGGACGTCAGTACATTGTTCTCCATTAGCACCCACGTCCAAAACGAACTGGACCGCGCCGGGATGGATTTCGGCCAGGACGCCGTCAAAGGCGGCCCTTGCGACGGCAGCCCACGCCTTGGCTGGCTCACATCAAACGCCATTCAAACGTATGGTCCACTGGCGCAGGCACAACCCGTGGTTACGTGAACCATTCGGGCTTCAATCCTTTCCCGGACACACGGAGCGAGAACGTGGCGAAGGAGATATCACACAACGCCGCGAGTGGTCGCGAGGGTGTCGAGTGTTGGGCCTCAGCAGGACTCTTGACGCGATTTCGGTGGTCGCAATGGCCTCACCGTCCCGGCAACTCCATCTCTCGCTGTCAAGGTGGTGTCTGGACCAGCCCTTGAGTTGGACCATCCCTCTCTGTCCAGGGGCTAGGCCAGAGCTAGATGGCATCGAACGCTTGCCCGATGAAACGAGGCGTATATGGGCGACTCGCGAGCCCATGCCGTTCCTTGGCGCACAGCATGTGCAGGATCGTGAAGTATATTAGATAGAGATGCAATTTAGTTCGCGACGGTCGGGCCAAACGAAGAGTAGTCCGTGTGGTTGGGCAGCACGTATTGCTTGAAGTTTTCTTGGAACGCCACCGCGAGCTTGCGGGCGGTCGCGGCGTACGCCGCCTTGTCCGTCCATGCGAGCTCAGGCTTGAGCATGTCGGACGGGACGTCCGGGACGGTCGTCGGTACATTCACATGGAAGATGGGATCTTCCACAAACGTCGCTTCTTCAATCGACCCGTCCAAAATCGCATCAATGCACTTGCGCGTGTACTTGAGGGACATGCGCTTGCCGACGCCGTACGCGCCGCCAGTCCAGCCAGTGTTGACGAGGTATACCTTGGTGTCGTGCTTCTCAATCTTCGACTTGAGCAAGTCGGCGTACACGATGGGGTGCTGGGTCATGAAAGCAGCGCCAAAGCACGCAGAGAACGTCGCAACGGGCTCGGTAATGCCGCGCTCGGTGCCGGCCACCTTGGCCGTATAGCCAGATAAAAAGTGGTATTGCGCTTGGCCAGGGGTGAGCTTCGCCACGGGGGGCAGCACACCATAGGCATCGCACGTCAAGAAGATGACAACCTTGGGGTGGCCGCCTTGGGCGGTCGGATCATGGTTCACGATGTGGTACAGCGGATAGCTCACACGGCCATTCTCTGTCTTGGACACGTTGTAGTAGTCGGGCACACCGTTTTCGTCGAGCCACACGTTTTCCAGCATGGCGTCGCGGCGGATGGCGGCAAAAATCTCGGGCTCGTTTTCTTGCGACAAGTTGATTGTCTTGGCGTAGCAACCACCTTCGAAGTTGAAAATGCCTTCGTCGTCCCAGCCGTGTTCGTCGTCACCGATGAGGAGGCGCTTCGGGTCGGCACTCAGGGTCGTTTTGCCCGTGCCCGAGAGACCAAAAAAGAGCGCCGTGTCGCCATTCACACCCTTGTTCGCCGACGCGTGCATGGGCATGATGTCGCGGAGGGGCAAGAGGTAGTTCATCATGGAAAAGATGCCCTTCTTCATTTCGCCGCCGTAAAACGTGCCGCCGATCACAGCCACCTTGGCTTCAATGTTAAACACGACAAACACTTCCGAATGCAACCCGTGCACTTTCCAGTCTTCGTCGACAACGTTGCACGCGTTGATGATGGTGAAGTCGGCCGCAAACGCCGACGGCGCGGCCACGTCCTTGAATTCCGGACGCATGAACATGTTGGTGACAAAGTGGTGCTGCCACGCAAGCTCCGTGATGATGCGAACCTTGAGGCGCGAGTTTTCGTTCGCGCCGCAGTACCCGTCAAACACGTACATTTTGTCGACCGTCGAAAAGTGCTGCGTCGCCTTCTTGTACAACACGTCAAAGACTTCGACGGTCGTGGGTTGGTTCACCGCGCCCCAGTCGACGTGCTTGTCAGACGGGGCTTGGCGCACCACAAACTTATCCAACGGCGATCGGCCCGTAAACTTGCCCGTGTCGACTGCAAACGTGCCGTTCGCAGTGAACACGCCTTCGTTGAAGCGCGCTTCGTGCTCGGCAATGGCCTCATACGGCAAGTTGTGGTAGACCGTGGCTTGGTTGTGGATGCCGAGGGAGTCGAGGCCGAGCGACGCAGCAGACGTTTCGTGGCTCATGGCAGGTTGGTTGGTGGCGGGGCGGACGGGAAATCGAGAATGGCTGGGCGGCTGGGAGCAGGAGGAGGATCCGTCTGTCACATGGATGGCGCCGTTGAAGCATGTGTGCACGTCGGAACGTGATTTGATTCGTCGATCTCTGCCAATCAGACACAACTTCAACCGACGTAATGGCAACGGCAAAGTCCAAATGACTTGACGTTTGTATGACGACGCATGACGCGCCCGTGTCACGAAGGCCGACCCGAATGATCCGTCGCAGGTCGGAGATTCAGCCAATCCGAGTGCAGCGACGTGCGGGGCAAAACGGTTTATCCCATCGACGACGCTAGCATCGGCCTCCGACGCCGAGAAACGGCATCCGATCGTGCAATCGCTGCATCATGGCGATGCGCACCTCCGATGAACGAGGTGCGAGCCAAGAACTGTGGGTAGGGGGCAAGGAGCGACGACCTCCAGAGGAGACGACAGGGGAGGATCGATGTATCGGAAGGGGAGACTGTTGTGTTGCGGTTGAAAGATCCGCCCAGACAAAGAAACGTTTCGACCGGTGGTGAAAGATGTGGACTTTTTCCTGATCACATGCTTGCGATGATGCCCTCGCTCCATTCAAGCGAGGGGTCGAGGCGGAGAGGGATGTCGGGCCAGTCGGCGTGCGCCGTGTCGATGTGTCGTGGAAGCACTGTCAAGAAAACATGGGTCGGGGTGTTAGGCCGTTGCTCGGCGCCGGTGGTTCAAACACTCGCTCGTGCTGCCACGTCATTGCGTATTCTTTCATACTGACAAAGCGTGTATGGATGGAGAGTGGCAGATCGTTTCATGGCGACGGCGTGTATTAAGATAACGAGTGATACCCGCCACTGAACGTCGGTGGCAGCCCAGTGTCCATCCCCAAGTCGACCAGAATCGTCTCCAATCTCGCCACGATCGCCGAAAACTTTGGCCGGAGCGACGCTTCGTTTTGCCAGCAGTCTCGAATGAGTGCCGCGTAGGCTGGGTCCACCTATGCCCCCCACGCCGTGAGACCTTGTGTGGCTGGCCTTTCACTTACATCGTCCCCGATGACCGGCCGCACGCCGTTGAGCGCTTGATTGTAAAACTTGACGGGGGCCATGCCCAAGAACGGGTTTTCAAACGTCCCCGCAATCATCTCCCACATCACGATCCCAAAGCTACACGCATATAGACGAGTCTGTCGACGGAATGGGGAGCGGACACCACTACCTCCAGTTGTCCGCTTTGAACGTGTATCCAACATCTTCGTCCAGCAACACTTCGGGCGCCACCCTGACCCGCCAGAACGCACGAGGTCAGACACGAACGGAGTGCCATGTATCGATCGTACCAGCCGCTCGTGCCGCACTGTGTAAACGCTTGCGAGCCAGCATCGAGAACTTTGCTAATTCCAAAGTCGGCCACTTTTACGCGCCAGTCGTCGTCCACGAGGAGGTTGTGCGACTGCCATCTCCGGCTGGTCAATCACATGCGTTGCTGCCTTCGAACGTACCTTGATATCTCGGTGGATGATTCGCATCGAGTGGAGGTATGCCACACCGCGCGCCGCATCCAGCATCATGCGAACTTTGTACTAGTGCCATGACGGGTGGGGGACGACGACCTTGGACGATATGGATAAGTGTACCTTCCACGGCATCGACGCATACATGGCCTGCGTATGGATCACGTAAAACAGACTCCGCCGCGCGCAGTACTCTGTCAGGATCATCAATTTGGGCTGGATGCACGCCCCAATGAAGAGCACAATGTTGGGGTGTTTGAGCTGGCGCAGCATCGCGACTTCTTGCGTGTAGTCGCCCATGATCTTGTCCGTCAGGCGAGCGTACCGAAATACTTTGACCGCGACCTAATCTCTCTTCCTAAGACATACGAGCTCCGCACACGACCCACCTCGGCCACTTTGTTGCTGTCGACAATCCACATGCCACGGTACACTGTTGCGCACTTGCCGCACCCGAGCTCGTTCTCCTTCCCTTCCAAGAGCCGAATGGTGTCGTAGGGGATATCAAGGTATCGCTGTTGGCTGTCGAGCTTCTCGGCCTGCACTTGCAGCGCCTTTGTCTGGACGTTGGCCGGGTCTGCCTGCGCAATCAAGTCGGCCGTCGCACTGATGTTACGCTTGAGTTCCTTCTCGCGCGCCTGCACGTTGTATTCGACTTCATGGCGTCGCTCCGCCGGTAAGCTCATCACTTCAGACCCTGCATTCAGCTACACCATGCCGGCATGTCAGGCACAAATCACGCGACAAGAAATGCAGTTGTGTTGTCGCACTTGCTCCACCAACTTGGCCAAGATCGAGTCCGGGCCGGCATTCATGTCGTCCATGTGAATTTTGTCGCCATGAGTTAGGCCAATGTCTTGCTGCAGCCGCGCGGCGTTGTGCACGAGCGGCGTTGCCTGGGACATCGACTGGCTTTCATGGAAGGCTACAAACACCCAGCTCGTCATCACAGCAGTCGCCACCACACTGCTCGTGCTTCGACGCTTGTCGACCCCGAGTGATATCGCATGCAATGCACAAAGAGCCTACCGTTCTTGTCGACATCGTCCTTGGCGTGAAACCACACGAGGCGCTGGCGATGGGTTGGCAGCCCCACGACGTTTTCGATCGTTCGTTTCAATTCTTCGAGCGTCGCTTCCCGGGGTGTTTCCACACAAATGGCGGGCTGGGCTTCGCCCGTGGGTAAGATGCAAACCTGGTGGGTGCAGGTTATGTCGGGCGGACTCTTCAGCTGCACACGCACCACACGGAGGAAGAGTCGGTCTGAATCGACGGCCCGCCGAACGCGGTCACGGACCACTTCTTCCGACACGTCGCCAATGCTCGAGGCAAAAAAGTGAATCTAGTGACTGGCCGTTTAGATGGAAAACCAACAAGGAACCGGTCGATGGAAGAAGCGAAAACGTGGGTGACTGTACATGATGCGGAAAGAACTTGTAGATTTCCGTGCCAAACGAGTACGCATTTGTGGCCGACGCGACCTTGGACTCGGACGAGAACGACGGCGATGTCATGACCATTCCGTTCTCAGCGGTGTCGTCTTCTCGGAGTGGCGCCAAGTGGTGAAAGGTCACCAGGATGTACTTGCTCACGGGGCCTTGCTGCAGCGGCACGTCAATGCGAAGGTAAATGTACTTGACGCCGCTCCCCGAGTTCACGGTCGACGTGATGCCGCCGAGACTGCTCAGGGCATTGTACCCACCCTGGTGCACTCTGTCAGCATCACATCGACGGTGGAGTCGAACCTCGCACGCACCATGCCCGTCTCCAACAGAATCAGCTTCGTCGGTTCGTCGTCCGTCGTTTGTTCGAACCCAGCGACCATCCAGTTGAACGGGACCGAGTCGTTGCGGATGTCGTTGTAGGCCTGCTGCACTTCGGGCGAGATTTCGACCGTCTTGACCGCCTGTCCTAAGCGTTTGCTCAGACTGCGTCGCTTGGTGAAGGGCAGCATAAGCTTGATGTTGTCGTCGCTACGGAGACGGGTTGGACGATGCCTCGTGGGTGGTGCGTACCTTAGATCGTCCGGGGAAGTCAACTGAAGATGGGCCATTCCTGCCAAATGGTCCTGTATTCTTTTGTGGAACTCGGTGTGTTTCGCGCGCAATGCAAACGGCAGGGTGTTGCCTTTCCAGCACAGCGACACAACGTATGGGGTCAGGTTGAATGAGAACATGCCGGCGTTCGACGTTCGTGGGGTTCGCGGCGACGTGGGGCTTATGTCGTCAGTTTCCAGTCGACACAAACCGTAGCAAAGCGATTTGGGTTCAAAGAGCCCGTCCGGCCAATTTCGCTCGTCGGACACGGGTCCTGTGCCCTGCTTCAACACACACAGCGTTGTGTCATGACCGCTCGCTGTCGTCGGAGGAAACCCGACAAACACCCACGAGATGGATCCCTGGAGCCTGCGCACTTCATGGAGGGATTCATCAACTGCATGGAAGAGCTGCTCGTCCGACGTTTTCCCAGAGCTGCTGCGTGGAGGGATGCCACTGAAGCTCAGCATCTTCCCACGCAACGAGCGAGGGCTGAATATGTTGCGATGTGATCGGTGGAAACCATCCGGATACGGTATCCGTGTATTACATTGGCCGTTTTGAGTTGGATCTTGACAAAGAAGAGACACACGGAGGGCCGCCGACCAAGACGGCGCCGCTCGATTCTCCCCGTCGGTCGGGATTGTATGACATGCGTCGACTAGCGTAGTAGTCACGAGAGTGCTAGGATCCACAACCAACAAGCACGGCATCCTTCTTGCCATCATGACACCAAGGTTCGGTCCGATTCACTGGAGACATCATCCATCGTGCGACGACGAATGGATTCAATACGTGTGGCATGCACGTACAACGGCCAACGACCATCAATGCTTGAAAGGTGCTTTATGCAGGTTGCATTGCTCGAGCGTGCTCGACGTGGGCAAGAAGCTCACCTCTGATGATACGTTGTACTGGATGATCTCACGCATGCATGACCAGCCAACGTTGATCTCGTCGTTGTCGTGGATGACCTCATGATTTCTTCACTGGTCGTACGTAGTCGCCTTCGAACCGTACAGCGTTCCCGTGGCTTTATTCAGCATGAGGGAGGAAGGGCGAGAAGGGAATCGATGGATGGGGAGCATGCCCATGACACATAGTTGGGAAAGATTGCATGCTCCTGCAGCTTGACAGGATCGAGCCATCCGCAGCGATTCTTGATCGAACGCGAGTTTGCTGTCGCCTCCTGGGCTGGTACGGCTCAGATTATATAAACGCGCTCCAATTTGGCCAACGTGTCCATTCAAGTCTATTCGAGTTGGGAAAACCAGAGCGGGTGCATGTACTATGCTCGAACAGTCCATTCTATGCGTGTGGGAACTGGCCGTCGCGTGCTTCAGGTCGATCTTGAGTTTGCAACGTCGCCAAAGAATCGCTGTCAGCCAGTCCATCACCGACTCCACATGGCTTCATCGTCACGTGCGACAATTCCACACGACGATTGCTTCGCCATCCAGCACTCGAAGAAACATATAGAGCCCTTCCTGATTCAAGCACTCGGCCACCGCATCAGGCACCCAGCCTGCTTGGAGTCCCTCTCTGCCCCTAGTCACCGCTCGGTTGATCGACAACGTGCGACAAGGCGACGGAGGGGGACCTATCCAAAAGATTGGCCCTTTTAAGTGCGTTATCTCGAATACTTTCCTGAAGGGTTTCGGTATACTGAACTCCAGCTTGTTTTTCTCGCAAGATGGAGGGCAGAGTGGGATTTCATCCAATCAAACGCTGTAATGCAAAATAATGCAATCTGATTGGCTATTGTTTGATCCACGATGCTTTGGTACGCCACAGCCACTAAAACTTCGATCGAAGCAGATTTCGAAATTCGAACGAAGATCGTCCACCATCACGAAGACGATATCCATTCTCACAGGGTATGATCTCGGCAAGGTAGAATCGGTGGAACTCCTTGGCTTCTTGATCCCGTCCCATCCATACAACTTGACGTCCCCCCGTCCGTCCATATCTATCCTGTCTAGTCGCTATTCGCGCCACCTCACCATCACTCGCATGGTTCAAGAACTATCTTGCTGGGTCCATGGATGGTTCAGAGTGTTCGTCGCCATCCATCGTAAAAACGAAACATCGCACCGGCGCCAACAGCTAAGTGCCAGGCACGTTCATATTACGGACAAACCATATCCAATGTACGCGGATATGCATTTGTAGAGGTTTCGGCCCCCCGAGCCAGTCAAACCGGAGGGGGGATTAGGTCTCGCGGGAGGGTTTTGGTTGGTTTTGGCGTCACTTTGCATTTTGCGACGCAGAACCCCCCGCAGCAAACATGGTACGCTTCCTTCGCTCGTTTCCGTCGGCGGACGACCTCATGGGCTCTCTAGGTGAATTTCACTACCGCCCAAATGCGTGAAATCATGGACTACACGAAGAACATTCGTAACATGTCTGTGATTGCCCACGTCGATCACGGCAAGTCGACGTTGACAGACTCGTTGGTGTCGAAGGCTGGGATTATTGCTGCCAAGAACGCCGGCGACGCGCGTTTCACGGACACCCGCGCGGATGAACAAGAACGTGGTATCACGATCAAGTCAACGGGGATTTCCATGTTTTTTGAATACAACATGGATGCTGGCGAAGCGTTGGCGGCCAACAAGGCGCATGCCGAAGCGACGGCCAACAAGCCCGCCGACGGCGAATTCGTCCCCGAAGTCACAATTAACGACAACTCGTACTTGATCAACTTGATCGACTCGCCCGGTCACGTCGACTTCAGTTCCGAAGTGACTGCCGCCTTGCGTGTGACGGACGGTGCGTTGGTCGTCGTTGATGCCATCGACGGTGTGTGCGTGCAAACCGAAACCGTGTTGCGCCAAGCCATTGGTGAGCGCGTCAAGCCTGTGCTCATGGTGAACAAGGTTGACCGCGCCTTGTTGGAATTGCAATTGCCCCCCGAGGAGTGCTACCAATCGTTCAACCGCGCGATTGAAAACGTCAACGTGACGATTGCCACGTACAACGACGCCAAGCTCGGCGACGTGCAAGTGTACCCGTACAAGGGTACGGTCGCGTTTGGTTCCGGCTTGCACCAGTGGGGCTTCACCCTCAAGCGCTTTGCCAAGCTGTACGGCACCAAGTTCGGCATTGACGAAGGCAAGATGATGGAAAAGTTGTGGGGCGACTGGTTTTTTGACGCCGAGGCCAAGAAGTGGAAGCGTTCGTCGGAAAATGGCACGTTGAAGCGCGCGTTTGTCCAATTCATCATGGACCCCATCTGCAAGATGTTCGACGCCATCATGAACGACCGCAAGGCCAAGATCACCAAGATGTTGCAAGCCGTCGGCGTCGAACTCAAGCCGGACGAACAAGAGTTGACGGGCAAGCCTCTCCTCAAGCGCGTCATGCAAAAGTGGTTGCCTGCCGGGGACGCTGTGTTGGAAATGATTGTCGTGCACTTGCCGTCGCCCGTCGTCGCACAGCGCTACCGTGTTGACACGTTGTACGATGGTCCGTTGGACGATGAATGCGCCAACGGTATCCGCAACTGCGACGTGAATGGTCCCTTGGTCATGTACGTGTCGAAGATGGTGCCGACTTCAAACGATCGCGCTCGTTTCTATGCCTTTGGCCGTGTCTTTTCTGGGAAGATCTCGACTGGCCAAAAGGTGCGCATGTTGGGCCCCAACTACGTGCCCGGCAAGAAGACCGACTTGTGGGTGAAGAACATCCAGCGTACGATCATCATGATGGGTCGCTACGTCGAACAAGTGCCCGACATCCCGGCCGGTAACACGTGCGGTTTGGTCGGTGTGGACCAGTACTTGCTCAAGTCTGGTACCATTACGACGTCGGAAACGGGTCACACGATCCGCACGATGAAGTTTTCCGTGTCGCCGGTCGTGCGTGTCGCTGTCGAACCCAAGTCGGCCGCTGACTTGCCCAAGTTGGTCGAAGGGATGAAGCGTCTGGCCAAGTCGGACCCGATGGTGTTGTGCTACACGGAAGAATCGGGTGAACACATCATTGCCGGCGCCGGCGAACTCCACTTGGAAATTTGCTTGAAGGATTTGCAAGAAGACTTTATGGGGTGCGCCGTCAAGATCTCGGAGCCTGTCGTGACGTACCGCGAAACGGTGACGGCCGACTCGTCGATGCAAGTGTTGTCCAAATCGCCCAACAAGCACAACCGTTTGTACTGCTCGTCATCGGCGCTCTCGGACGAATTGGTGGCCGAGATCGAAGAAGGCAAGGAAGAAGTCAATGTGCGCTACGATGTCAAGCTCCGCGCCCGCTACCTTGCCGACAACCATGGCTGGGACGTGACGGATGCCCGTAAGATTTGGGGTTATGGCCCGGATGGCGAAGGTCCCAACATTTTTGTGGACCAAACCAAGGGGGTGTCGTACCTCGGTGAAATCCGCGAATCTGTCATGGGCGGATTCAACTGGGCCACCAAGACGGGCGTGTTGTGTGACGAAGTCGTTCGTGGTCTCCGCGTCAACTTGTTGGATGTGGTGTTGCACGCCGATGCCATCCATCGTGGCATGGGTCAAATCATGCCCACTGCCCGTCGTGTGGTGTTTGCTGCCCAATTGGTGTCGAGCCCGGCGTTGATGGAACCCATCTTTTTGGTGGACATTCAGTGCCCGCAAGACGCCATGGGTGGTGTGTATGGTGTGTTGACGGTGCGCCGCGGCCATGTCTTTTCGGAAGAGCAACGTGTTGGTACGCCCATGATGCAAATGAAGGCGTACTTGCCTGTGAACGAATCGTTTGGGTTCACGGAAGAATTGCGCGCCAAGACGGGCGGCAAGGCGTTCCCTCAGTGCTCGTTTGACCACTACCAAATCGTCAACGGCGACCCCCAAATCGCGACCACGATGGCCGGCAAGTTGGTCCACACGACCCGCGTCCGCAAGGGTCTGGCGCCCGAAGTGCCTCCGTTTGACCGATTCTACGACAAGCTATAAAGCGCTTTCCTATTTTGTATTTGATGTCACATTAGCCACCACCAAGTATCAGAATATTACAAGACTTGCATGCTTCCTCACCATCGAGTCGTGCACGCTGTCTCGTTCGCTCTCTGGATGGCGTCCTCATGCTGTTCGATGCCGCATCGAGACGTCTCGGTAGTGGAATTCGCTCGTGAAGCGTTTGCAGGCAGTTTGGAAGGCGAACCAAGTGGCAAGTCATGAACCATGTTCATGACCGCCTCAAGGCATGGATGCATCCACCTTTCATCACGACCCCTAGAATGAAGAGCTGACTCACCACAATGATTGTTCGTCCAGTGCTGCCGAGAACAACACGTTGAGCGGCATCGCCACAGGGACAACTTTGAGCACATCCTTTCCCGACATGGAAGGCCGACCGACCTTTCTCGCCGCCGCCCATGTCGACGGAAAACAAATTTTCGGATATGTATAGAGTTATCCGGCGGGCACTGCATCACCATGATGATGAACGTCGAGAAGAGCGCGATTGTCTTGGACGTTGGGAGTCGGCACTTGAAATGCGGCATGTCTGGGGAGAGGAGCCCCCGCACAGTTTTACGATGGGAGGTGGGACGATCGAAGCCCCTGGAGGAAGCACTGATATTTGCACTTTTGCACTAGGTGGCGGAGAAGTTGCTCCTTCAGCCGCCGTTGACAAAGGATGCCTGGATGAAGTACATTGGAAATCAGCTCTACGATGTGTGTTACAAGTAAGGAAGGCAGTCGTCGTGCAATGCATTCATCCTGCGCACCCTCAGGCATCTTCGCGTCGCCCCAAAGAATCGCCGCATTGTCCTGTGCGAAGATCTCTTGTTTCCGCGGAACTTGCGTGAAGCCTTGGCAGATGCCGTGTTCAACGTCCTCAAGGTGACGTTTTCCTGCGCCCCAACCGGCAATCTCTGACGCGGGTGCAGGCCAAGCACCTCTTGCTCCTTCCAGCCATGACGACGGCCCTGTATGCCACTTGCCACTCCACCGCCTTGATCGTTGATGCGGGGTGGCACGAAACGCGCATTCTACCTGTGTTTGAGCGCCATCCACTCGTTCATGCGTATACGAGTTCGTGCTTCCATTTCGTATACCCTGTGTATCGTATTTGTTGTCCATCGTAGCAACTGACGTCGGCTCTCGAACGTGCTGCGCTGCTCTCTCCAAGGAGCTACCAGCCGCCACGTCCGCAGAAGACGTCCTGGAAAGAGCATGCTTTGTGGCATCTCCCCAAGCTTTGGTAGATCATTTCATAGCTTTCTCGTTGACAAGTGGCTCTCACGCTATGCCACAGGAAGCTGCCGTAGATGCCAGCTTCTACGCCTTTACTCCGCTCGCCTTTATGGTATTTTCTCCCTGTTTCCACTTGGTGACCTGGACGAGTAGGTCCCAGCCACTACACGAAGTCAAGTCGTTGAGCCACTCTTCAACGGTGCGACGATCTCTTGCCACTTGCAATATCAATCATTGGTTTCACCAACTCTGCTGCAGGAACCGACACGCTCACAATTCCAGATGCCATTCGCGAATGCGTAGCCAAGTGCCCCGTCGACACACGGCGGGCCCTCCTCGCCAACATCGTTTGCATTGGCGGAACTTCTATGCTCCCCGGTGTGTGCCCTTCCGCTGATGGTATTTTTCGACTCTTACAACGAACCGCACACAATGTAGGTTTCCTGGACCGCCTCGCGACCGATCTCGCGCCGGACCATGGCCACGTCGCATCGACGCTGTTTCCACCTCACTTTATGACATGGATTGGCGCGTCGATCTACGCCTCCACGGACGCTGCGGTTGCGCACGCTCTGTCGGCGGAGGCGTATGAGCCGACCGCCGTCGACGACTGGATGCGACTACCGTAGGTTAACGTATAAATCGATTGCAAACACCTCCGACGAGTCTTTGCCATCACTTGCGTGCGGCAGCTTGGCCGAGAGGTCGGCCGGATTCGTCCCATGGCGCCTTGAGTGCCGACTTGTCGAGCGGTCCGAGATCCTGGAGCTTGGACTTGAGGTTCGCACTGGCTTTCAACGGGGCGATGTGGTGGGGCATGTTGACTTTGCGGCCTGGCGAACTCGCCTTGGCGTCGCTCGCCGCCTTCTTCGCCTCAGCCTGCTGCTTTTCCTTGTCCGCGATGATTGCCATCGTTTCCGGCATTCGCTCGTCGTCGTCCGCGTCGTTGTACTTAACCTTCCACAACGTGAGCTTGCGCAAGTTGGCAAATCCTGGCACGCCCTTGCGGTACGTCTTGACCTAGTTCGCTCGCGTCACAACCTGGCACATGATACACGAGCGATCCGGACGACCTGGAATCCGTTCTTGTGGCACGTCACGTCTGGAAACCGCGTGTCGAGGAGGGGCTGTTCGTCTTGGCCGTCTTCGATGTGGACGAAGAACGCGTTGTCGTAGTACAGCACGATCAGCACGAGTGCCCCCGTGTACACTTTGCACGCAATCGCTTCGACGTGCTAGCAACATCCCGATCGGCAAGTTGGGACGACATGCCAATGCAATTACCTTGAGAAATGGCGACGGTTCCATTGAGAGTTCAAAGAAGCATTCGGCGCCGTTGTCGTCGAGCCACCGACCGATGTCTTCTTGGCCTTTGCGTGCCATGTGCGCCAACACTTCCTCGGACGCAGCCAACTCTTGCTGAATCGCAGGCACAATTGACGAAATGTACTCCATCGTGGCCGTAAACAGCGACGTCGCAGGCATCTTGGTGACTTCACACATGAAGGTCTATTCAACGAGGGGTGACGATGAAGTGTCGAGAACGAACGGTACCAGCGCGCTCTGCTGACGGCGAAGCATGGGAATGACAATGGGGATGTCCGACAGCTCGAGCTTCGGCCCCAAGTCCACATGACCATTGTAGCACCAGCTGCCAAAGCGGAAGAGCACTTCGCGGAGCTTGCTTTCTGGATGGCCTTCGACTAGAATACAATTGATGCCGTGTCAGGGCATCATGGATCGTTCACAAAACAACTCGTGGGTCGTACGTGGCTGCGTGCGCTGGATAAGGAACGTTTGGTTGTACCCGGAGCCAGATACGTCCTTGACTTGCATTTGAAACGATTTGGGCGGCGACTTACTTGCCAAGTCAGCCGGCATGGCTTGCCACAACACGAGCTTCTTCATGTTCATAAAGTTCTCCTGGTAATGGCGTAGGTGCACGCCTTGGAGGTGCTGCGACAGGTCCGGGAAACGAACGTCTAGCAGCGGTTGCTCGCCGTCACCTTCTTGAAGCACCACGTAGAAGCTGCGGCGGTAGTATATGACCAAGAGCACGAGGCCGCGCACAAACGTTTTGCTCGCGACCAAGTCAATGCCCTACGCACCAATTGTGACCAAAGCGAAGACGACGAAATGCAACGATCTAGACGCACGTCAAAGCAATCAAAACCACCCGTTTCGAGCTCGAAAAAGTTTTTTCCGTCGGTCGCGCCATCGTCGTCGACCCATGCGTTCTCCTGTGCAGCTTTCATCAGCTTCTTCTCGATACTCTTGGAGGCCAACTCGGTCCCGATGAAGTCGAACGCATCATACAGCGTCTCCATCGGCACAGCGTACGGCGACGTCGACGGAATTTGCTTCCACTCGCAGAGAAACTGCAATGACCCTTGTTGCTTCTGCAGCGCAGGGATGACGAGCGGGAGGTCGCTCAGCGTAATCTCCGAGTCACCGAGGTCGACTTTACCCGTGTAGCACCAGTTTCCACAGCGAAAGAGGACTTCATGCAAATGCGTTGAGCTTGACTGAATCACGTACGTTTGATTGTAGCCTTCGCGCAATGCAATGACGTCCGGTGACGGCGCGCCAGGCGCGGTGTCGTCGTCCTCTTCCGCGTCGGAGTCACCGCCACGCTTCGCCTCAGCTTGGTACACCACCATCTTGCTCTCGACTTCGTCTTCATGCTCTCCTTCGCGTTTGTTCTCCATCGCAGATCGGCGACGGCCCTCCTCTCGTCTCCACGACTTCCGAAACGACGCAAGATATGTTGCCCCACCGATAACCGATTTCTTTTTAGCCAATCAGTGTGCACCTACAGTAATTTCAGGAGCAGTTCGAATTCCGGATAAGGCGAGGTTATATTCGGATAATTGCCTCGGTTGAGTCCACGTGTCCTGCCGGACAACATTGCAATTCCAGCCCTCGGCGAAGGACGCCCTCATGGTGGACTATCAAGGCCAGAAGCTCGCGGATCAACTGATGCAACTAATCTTTGCCGTCATCTGCATCCCAGCGTGGTTGTACGGATGGACGCAAGATGATTTCGTGTACCCTCTGTACGCATGCGGCGGGGCGCTCGCTCTCGCTACCGCCGTCGTTGTACCCAACTGGCCAATTTACAACCGCCATCCCGTCCAGTGGCGATCGAATTTGAAGAAGGCGAAGGACGACTAAGACAAGTAACTTAACGAGCACCCTGACGCAACTGCGTAGTGTTGCTACCATGAGTCCTATTCATTCGCACACTTACAAGTGGGCTTACCTCGTTGATCCCATCTATCTGAAACATGCACCTGTCGTGTGTCCTTGTTGCCTCGAAACTTGAATCACGAATATCGTGGACGCTAAGGCGGTGCAAAGATTGAAAGAGTGGTTGACATGCTCTCGCTGAGAG